AATTTGTACTTGACAACAATGTTTTTGTCCACAACCAACACAACCCGCCCACCCCTCCACGTGCGGAAATACATAGTTCCCGCTGACTGCCTGGAGTAAGTTGGTCCCGAGCATTCGTAATGGCTGGTCCTATACTAGCGCTCATAGGGTCTATGTCCCTCAGGGTACTGCCGGAACGTACCCTGGGTACGGTCCGGTATACCGGAACATACCCTTGTAACTATCTGATATGGTTAGGGTTAAGGTTAGGGTTAGGGTTAGGGTTAGGGTTAGGGAGTAGGCGTAGGCGACTCCCTAGACTCGTTAGTGGAGTAGGCAAGGTACAGTCCGGCATATTAGATAGTACCAGCAGAGCATATAAATCACGTTGATTTATATGCTCTGGTACCAGGGTACGTTCCGGTATACCTGACCGTACCTAGGGTACGTTCCGGCAGTACCCTGGGGGACATAGACCCTCTCAGCTATAGTAGCCCAGCAGCAACTGTACGCGGGCTATAGTTACTAGAGCTGAGTACGCTGAGAGGGTCTATGTCCCCCAGGGTACTGCCGGAACGTACACTGGGTATACCGGACCGTACCCTGGTACTATCTAATATGCCGGACCTTGTCCGCAAATGCAGACGTTATAACTCCGCTTTGCTAATCTGAGGGTGCGGGTTTATCGTCTGCAGTCACCCTTGTAAAATTTGTTGCAATTTTTGTTGTGGGCATTGGATAGGTGAATCGAGTAGCACTGAGGGGGTGACGGGGGGTATATCCGACCCAAAATATCAAGTACAGACCTTCTGTTTGTCAATATCGCTTTTCCGAAGACTTTATCTCCGTTTCAGAACTTTGTTTTCATGCAATAATTCATCCTAGTAAGAGTAACTTACTAGGTTTTGGCCATAGTGGACAGATTTTTCGATCGACCAATGAAATTCACTTCCGGTAGTTTCGGGTTCACTCGGAAATAATAATTCGAAATAATAATAGATGGCGCGGACTACCTACCATGTTTCTCGTTGAACATCGGGAATAGCCAAAGTACCCGGAAGTGATTTTCATTGGTTGACAAATGTGAATGAAGACAGAACATTTTGTTTGGATGTTTATATTTACCATTAGGTTAACAACTTGATATAGTCTCATGTTGTGGCCGCTACCAGGACATCATAGCGTCCATCCACGTAGATAAATGATTCAAGTTCAGATTAAAGTAAGTTCCACGCAATAGGATTGTATATATCGGGCGCATATATTACTTAAGTACCACCTGCAAACTGGAGGTGGCTTTCCGTGATTGAGATAGACACGGCCGCAGACCCCATTACTGGGGTCTGCGTCGGATCGGACTATGCCAGACCGTACCTCGCCTACTCCACTAACGAGTCTAGGGAGTCGCTAGCTCTAGTACTATAGCCCGCTTACATTGACTGCCGCTGGTGGCTGCCGCTGGTGACCGCCCGCTGCCAGCGGCAGTCAATGTAAGCGGGCTATAGTACTACAGCTAGGGAGTCGCCTACGCCTACTCCCTAACCCTAACCATATCAAATAGCTACCAGGGTACGTTCCGGTATACCGGACCGTACCCTGGGGGACATAGACCCTATGACTCATTACTAGAGTTATGTCAGTGTGTGATGCACTTGACTTGATTTAAGCAACGTGCTAGCATTTCCTCACCAAACCGATACTTACACGTTTGCGCCCCATTGATTTTGACACTGTTATAAACCCGAGAATAAACGTTTATATTTATATCGCTTGCAGCGGACGAATTTATCTATAAATTATGCTTCTCTCATGTCCACAATGACACGAGGGATGTGCGCTGCCATTTTTCTACTGTGGTGCCATCTGTTGTCGAGAAAGACCGTAAACGTGTACATAGTTGCTAATCGTTTGCAGAGCGATGTGTACTTTTGACAATATATAATAAATAATATTTAATATTTATAATATTAAAGAATCGAGTCAACGTACGTCAGTTACTGATAGATAACAAAATTGTCAATGACTAGCAGATGACAATTAATATTGTGTTTATAAACAGCAGATATAACAGACATCTAATTCTAGGTGAACAAGAAGAGAAGGAGGTAAAGAAGATAGAAAGGGCAGAGTAGACAGATAAAGGTAGAGGAAGGAAGAGGGTTGAGGACAGAAGCAGAGGCGCTACAAGAGGTGGAGAGGGTGAAAGTTGGATAGAAGAGGTTAGGGTAGAAGATGGGTGTAAATGGACTGGGAGTAGGTGGCAGGAGAAAGGATTTAGAGGTGGGAATGGGACGGTTACACTCGACCTTATGATTATATATATACACAAACTCTGTCATGTATGATTAGGCATTGGGCCTACTACTGGATTACGGACTTCCTTAGGGCTAGATCCCAACTTTCATGTCAACGGCAGCGTGTCAGGTGTGGTTGCGGTTATATGAGGCGTACCCACAGCTAGACTCTGTGCTAGACTCTGTCCAGCTAATATTCTTAGCATTTATCAATGATCGCTATAGTAAGCAATAACCGCCACCACAACAGGTCGAGTGTTACTGACATGCTTGAAACACTCAACTGGCCGACGCTGGAGTCAAGACGAAGGGTTGCCCGTTTGGTTATGATGTACAAGCTCGTCAACGGCATGGTCAACTTGGATACCAACAACCGTCTGATACCACCTACTCGAAGCACCAGGAACATGTCAGAGCACTCTTTTCAAATCCCATCCTGCAGATGTGAGTACAGGAAAGGCTCCTTCTTTCCCAGGTCTATTACAGAGTGGAACGCCTTACCCACTGAAGTGGTGACAGCCGAAAATCTATGTTCCTTTAAGTCTCTGATTACTGCCTAAACGACATCAGGGCAGTTTTTTAAGTAAAATTTGGTTTTTTGGTGTTTTTTTTCTTTAGAAAATCAAGGGAAGGAAAATTTTATTTTAGTCTCAACTAGCACCTCCCGTTGGCATAATCATCAGTATGTTGATGGTGGCCAATATAGCGTAGAAATAGAAGTAGAAGTAAGTGAAACCGATATCCATTCTTCCTTTTTTCGGGTACCTAGCTGCTCTGGTATCGTCGCTTGTTATACTAGCATATTTTTTATTGCACTGACGGTGAAGATCTTTTATCAATGTAACCGTTTTTAAATAAATAAATAAATAAATAATAATAATAAATTCCTGACGCCTTTTCGCGGATGATGCCGTCACCATGTAGCAACCATGCAAACGTTCCTTACTGGGGGTCTTTAGCTGAGGGACGGTAGAAGATAAAGGCTGAGCGAGAGACAATTAAGTGGGGCCAGGGGAAGGACGGCAGGGGATGAAGTAGGAGTTTTGCACCCTACAGGTTAGGGCGATCTACTAATTATAAACACAGGTCTACTAATAGCAATTTATCACATAGATCTTTGCAGAGATAACCCCCTACAATATAAAATGCATATTCATCACAAAATATGACTCCTCTGGTGAGATATTGCGCATGCGCTAACATACTGACGTAGCCAGGTTCAGTACTGACTGCATGGTATGCAGCGGGCACCCACATGCAAGGTCTTCTTCCTATTTCTTATGCGAGGTCTATTGATGGAATGTTATCATAGAAATCTATGCTGGAATAACCTCTCTTCATTTTAAATTCATAGTTTTGGCAAAATATTATTTTTCTTGGGAGATATTGCGCATGCGCGAGCACCGGTTTAGACGTGCAGTACGGCCTAAATAAAAGTACGTAATATAGCTTGCTGCGGGAAAGAGGGGTGGGAGACTAAGGGAAGGTGGCAAGGAAGACAGCCGAGGAGCGGAGGAAGAAGAAGGAGGCTGAGCGCACGACAAGGGAGACAAGGGGAAGGGCGGGCGAGGATAAAGTATTAGTTTTGCACCCTACTGGCTATAGAGCGCTCTCCTAATTATAAACACAGATCTACTGATAAGAATTTATTTCAGAAACCTATGCTGAGATACCCCCTGACCATATTAATTGCATTTTCAGCACAAAATATATCTCCTCTGTTGAGGTATTGCGCATGCGCTAAAACAGTAACGTAGCCAGATTTTGTACTGACTGGTTTATGCAGCGGAGACCTTACATGCAAGGTCTGCATCCTATTTCATAAGTGAGGTCTACTAATGGAATATTATTATAGGAATCTATGCTGGGATAACCTCTCTTCATTTTAGATTCATAATTTTGGCAAAATATTCTTTTTCTTGGGAGATATTGCGCATGCGCGAGCACCAGTTCAGACGTGCAGTACGGCCTAAATAAAAATACGTAATATAGCTTGCTGCGGGAGAAAGGGGTGTGATACTGCGGGAAGGTGGCAGGCAAGATAGCCGAGGGGCGGTGGAAGAAGAAGGAGGCTGAGCGCGCGGCAAGGGAGACAAGGGGAAGGGCGGGCGTTGATGAAGTAGTAGTTTTGCACCGTACTGGCTAGGGCACTCTCCTAATTATAAACACAGGTCTACTGATAAGAATTTATTTTTAGAAACCTATGCTGAGATACCCCCTGACCATATTAAATGCATTTTCAGCACAAAATATAACTCCTCTGTTGAGATATTGCGCATGCGCTAAAACAGTAACGTAAAATATAAAATGCATATTCATCACAAAATATGACTCCTCTGGTGAGATATTGCGCATGCGCTAACATACTGACGTAGCCAGGTTCAGTACTGACTGGTATGCAGCGGGCACCCACATGCAAGGTCTTCTTCCTATTTCTTATGCGAGGTCTATTGATGGAATGTTATCATAGAAATCTATGCTGGGATAACCTCTCTTCATTTTAAATTCATAATTTTGGCAAAATATTATTTTTTTTGGGAGATATTGCGCATGCGCGAGCACCGGTTCAGACGTGCAGTACGGCCTAGATAAAAGTACGTAATATATAGCTTGCTGCGGGAGAGAGGGGTGGGAGACTGAGGGAAGGTGGCAAGGAAGACAGCCGAGGAGCGGTGGAAGAAGAAGGAAGCTGAGCGCGCGACAAGGGAGACAAGGGGAAGGGCGGGCGGGATGAAGTAGTAGTTTTGCACCCTACTGGCTAGGGCGCTCTCCTAAATATAAACACAGGTCTACTGATAAGAATTTATTTCAGAAACCTATGCTGAGATACCTCCTGACCATATTAAATGCATTTTCAGCACAAAATATAACGCCTCTGTTGAGGTATTGCGCATGCGCTAAAACAGTAATGTAGCCAGATTTTGTACTGACTGGTTTATGCAGCGGAGACCTTACATGCAAGGTCTGCTTCCTATTTCATAAGTGAGGTCTACTGATGGAATGTTATTATAGAAATCTATGCTGAGATAACCTCTCGTAATTTTAGATTCATAATTTTGGCAAAATATTCTTCTTCTTGGGAGATATTGCGCATGCGCGCGCACCGGTTCAGACGTGCAGTACGGCCTAAATAAAAATACGTAATATAGCTTGCTGCGGGAGAGAGGGGTGTGATACTGCGGGAAGGTGGCAGGGAAGATAGTCGAGGGGCGGTGGAAGAAGAAGGAGGCTAAGCGCGCGACAAGGGAGACAAGGGGAAGGGCGGGCGGAGATGAAGTTATTGCGCATGCGCTAAAACAGTAACGTAGCCAGATTTTGTACTGACTGGTTTATGCAGCGGAGACCTTACATGCAAGGTCTGCTTTCTATTTCATAAGTGAAGCCTACTGAATATTGTCATAGAAATCTATGCTGGGATAACGCCTCTTCATTTTAAATTCATAATTTTGGCAAAATATTCTTCTTCTTGGGAGATATTGCGCATACACGAGCACCGTTTCATACTTGCAGTACGGCCTAAATAAAAGTACGTAATATAGCTTGCTGCGGGAGAGAGGGGTGGGAGACTGAGGGAAGGTGGCAGGGAAGACAGCCGAGGCGCGGTGGAACAAGAAGGAGGCTAAGCGCGCGACAAGGGAGACAAGGGGAAAGGCGGGCGGAGATGAAGTAGCAGTTTTGCACCCTACTAGCTAGGGCGCTCTCCAAATTATAAACACAAGTCTACTGATAAGAATTTATTACAGAAACCTATGCTGAGATACCCCCTAACCATATTAAATCCATTTTCAACACAAAATATAACTCCTCCGTTGAGATATTGCGCATGCGCTAAAATAGTAACGTAGCCAGATTTTGTACTGACTGACATATGCAGCCGGGTCCTTACATGCAAGGTCTGCTTCCTATTTCATAAGTGAGGTCAAAAAAATATACTTGTGATACTATACTGATAGAATATTATCATAGAAATCTATTCTGGGATAGCCCCTCTTTATTTTAAATTCATAATTTTGGCATAATGTTATTTTTCTCGAGAGAGATATTCTTACTTCTCTTTATTTTTGTTATGATATATCTATCACTTACTCTGACGTACGAATATTTGGGTGTTATCACAAGCAGAAAACTTTGCTGCATGGAACGCCCACATCGATTGCATTTGTAAAAAGTCATTCGATCTTTAGGCATGCTAGACCGCAATCTTTTTTTCCCTGACGCGAATTTACTCGGCTCTGACCTTTACAACTATATCATGGCCCTCCATTTTCTAGGATCAGCCAGCTGGGCACCATGTTTGGTGCACAGCTATGCACACTTTACTTGTACAGAATGTACATTCGTTTTTTTTGCACATGTATTTCGTTTCTTTATGTTTTATATCGCTGTCTTTGTACTGTATCACTCCGAATTTTTATTATTTTATCTGCTTAACACGATTGCATCTATCAGATTGGTTCTCCGTGAAAGAGACCATGTCTTCACTACACATATTTGTATTTAAATTACATCAGGAGCTAATAATGACAAATTTGTCATTATTAG